AAAATTTGTACTTCCTCAAAAAAAAGGTTAAAAGAAAATAAGGTAAGGAATTACAGATTTTTGTTCATCTTTCTCAGATGTCTACTTGATCTGCTTCTTATAAATTAGGGTCTATGATTCAAAGCAGACCTAGAAAAGAATTTCTATAATACAAGTTTCGTCATCATCATAATACTTTTGGTCTGAAAAGTCCCAAACTGTTACTCAATCAAACATAAATTATCCTTAATAACAATCAGATTATGCAGAGCAAAAGCCTATATTATTTGTGCAAATGTAATGGTGTTCTGATGATTAAGAAATCTAGAGTACTTGCATGATAGAATTTAAAGCATGTTCTTAACAATAAAACTAGAAAATAAGCACTTTTATTCTATACTGCTAAATAACTGGAATATTTGCTAACATCCTAATTAGATTATCTTTTGAAAGGTTTATGTCAGATTTGCCTTAAAACTCTATCCTTTTTACTATTGTGTTGGCCAACAAAATGGAAGATCTTAGGAAAAATAGTATCCACAGATCATCAGTGCTCTTCAGATACTACATTTTTTCTGAGAATTCTCCAGTGTCTTTTGATTCAGTTGAGTCAGATTTAAATTTCATTAATTTCATTACCAATTTAGGAATCTAGCCTTTTCCATCTTGTTTTCCTATCAGGGTTTATTTTGAAAAAAGCACCCCTTACTGATGTTAAATACAGCTAATCTCTTTGGGAAAATGTTTTGACATGCTATCACCTGCTGAATATATAGCTCCTTGAGCAGAAAGCAGTACGGGGCGGGGGGGGGTGTTGACTAACCAAAGATTCTGTTACTGATAAGTAGTGATTATTCTAAGGAAAAGTTAATCTTTTAATAATAACACCAACATAAAAAAAATCCCTTGGAAAAGCAAAGGGCTTGGACTCCAGTTACCTGTCCCTGGAGTGATAAAAATATGATCTCTTGGAGTAATTTCCACTGTGAAAACCAATTTATCTAGATGCAGGTTCCACCAAACAGCCCTAGCAGAGCTTGCCATAGTGGTTTAAGGTGCTGTTAGCTATTTATTCATCCTTACACCAGGGATGGGAGAGTGTGGTGAGGGACCAGACCTCACTGGTACAGCCCACAGTCTGAGAAAGTATCTCAGCCTCACGCTCAGAAACTAATGGATGAAAATGTGAATTGCAAGGGCTGGAAATAGCTTCTCATACCAACGCTGCTTCAGGGGCAGTCATGCCTGCTAAGGAGGTGGGAGAGACAGCCGGGAATGGCAATGCCTTGAGCTGTGCTGGTGAGAATTTTCTGGAGACATTTGGTGTGAGCCTTGCCTCTGACTAGCGGGTTGGCAGCAGCCTAGTTGCTTTGTGGGAGTTAACGCAGCTGTCGGGTTTAGTGCCTCTGTCCTTGAGAGAAGCTGTAAACATTTCTGTGAGGTGAGGAGGAAGCAATAGAGACAAGAGCAGTAGCTAATACTAAGATACAAAATGGAAGAAACTTAAGTTGCCTTCTCTCCACAGTGTAGAGTGCAAAGACATGGCGCTGAATGAAAAATTAGAAAAACCACAACATAACTTTATTGAAGTTAAATGATACTAATGTAGCACATTCACTTTTTCTGGAGAGAGCGCTGTTTTTCTAGAAAGCCAATGTGGGGGAGCATAAGAAAAGAATGTGGCATAACGTCACCCAGGGAAGCCAGTGGAGATGTAGAGTTCGAGGCATGGGATGGGGACGGTGACCGAAGCAACAGAGTGTACTGCTTTGCGAGCAGGGCTCCTGGAAGACAGGGAGTTACTGGAGGCCTTGGAAGGCATTTTACCACACGCACTTTGTCACGAGAAGAACGAGGTGCGCAGGTCAAATCCGCAGATGGCACGAAGTGGGGAGGCGCTGACGCGGAAAGGGGCGAGGTTGCGGACGGGGGCAGAACGACACGGTGCTTCCCCTGGGAAGGCAGGGCCAGGCCCTCGCCCGGGGCCTGGCGCCAGCGGC